TATGTGTATATTTTTTTAAGAAAATTTTGCTGAATATTTTTTTACATATAAAATATATGCTTATACATTTCATGTTCTTTATATATATATTTTTTTTTATACATATGTATTTTTTATATATTTTTTTATAGAGATTTCGAAAAGTAGTGAACTACAATAACAAAAATTATTTTTATATTTTTTTAATTAATTGCATTTTTGGCTGACCATACAGCTGTTTCGAGTATTGCCAAATACCCATTATCAGCGGTTTGAAATTATTTCTTGTATTTAATTATTCATATATAATTTTTTGAGACTGCAAGAAGAGTTGAACTCGTGCCCTGCCAAATTTAAAGCTCAGAGTCAGCGTTCATTAGCCAAGTGATCCAAAGCTGTACTTGACTTGTATGTTTGCACTTTGGAGTTTTTGTTAATTTACTGTGAAAGTTCATTAACAAATTCACTTGCTGCGTTATATTAGAACGAAATCATAAACCAGGTGTAGAATAATTGAATTAATTAATTATGTATAATTTTAGTTATTGAATTGTAATACTACTATTTTTTTAATATATTTTTTTTATATATTTTTTTATACAAATATATATATAATTTTTCTTATTAATCTTATTAAGAAAATAGTTTTAATTTGGTTTTAAATTGATTGATTTTTTATTGGATATATAAATATTAGTTTTTACATTTGTTACCGGGCTTAGGTCGTTTATTTAACACATAAATTTATAAAAATGTTTTTTAAATAAAATAAAAAATTACACTTTTTAAATTGCGCTAAATATTTAATTTTATTTTATATTACAAATATTTCGGTCATCTTCAGTGTATAATAAATAAATATTTAAATACATTTTTGATTTCTTAAATGATTAAAAATTTTCGTTTTCGTAGTTGTCTCGTTTGTTTCATATAATTTTATTGTACTACTTTTAATTATAATCAATAGGCATATAATCAATATTAAATTTTAGATACAAAATTATGTTAATTATTATTCTATTTTTTTTTTTCAAATTTTGAAGTTGTTTATAATTTTTGAATTCACACCTTCATACTCGTAACATCTTCAGTTAAACAAGCAAAAAATGTTTGTACATATATTCTTTAAATAGAAACGAACAACAGATTTTCTCCACTGTATCTGTAAGATTTTGTGAAGTTATCAATTAAATCTTTTAAAAGGAGCTACTCGATTATGCGATGTGCATCATTTGTTTAGGCGCCTTATTAATCTCGGACTATTTATCATTTCAGTAAAGATGCATAATTAATGAAATCCCAGCTCAGTAACGTCAGGGTTAAGTGAACCGTTTAGAGAAGAATACTAACAGTGAGAAGGAAATAAAACAAAACAAAACAAAACAAAACAAAACGTAAATGAATTTTAAAATATGCTCATATCAGTTGTATATCAGTCGTTTTTATGATAAATCTACACATTTAGTTTATGAAATGTGTTAGCCTCCTTCATGCAGTTTAGTCCAGTGGTTTAGTTTTCATTGAGGTATCGGTTAGAATCAATACGACAAACGTAACGCACAGTCTTAAGACAGATGGATATAAATGTATCTGATAGCTGTGTGTGCTCTCATGAATTAAACAAACTCATGTATGACATGCTCCCGTTGCTTATTTATATTACTTTCTACTGTTTCGAACTAGGGAAGCAGGAGAGCTGCCACAAATCGCATATTGCGTACTAAGTAAGCAAAAGGCGAACAAATTTGCTAAGAAAGTACGTAAACCAGGCGCATTGGAAGCGCTGCAAAAAGTAAATGCGAGTAAAATGCGTTTTGTTCTTGTAATGCTCACGGAACAAATTTATTACTAACCAGGCATGTGGCTACGTCAAGCGGGAAACTTTATTTTAACATAAAAATTCAATATTTCTGGCATTTCGCAATTGATGGATGGATGGATGGACGGAAGGATAAATTTTGCTGTTGCTTCTGGTGTTTGCGCTGATCTCAACGTATGAATTGCATTATAAAATTTATTTCGTTGTTATTTTATTTTATGAAATTTTTTCTACGTCATTCGTCGCCAAGGTGTTCAACAATTCGCAAATGAATGAGTTTATCGCTTTTTAATAAGTTCAGTTGTAGTGTTTATATTTTTTCCCCACATTTTTTATTGTATTTTTTTTTTTTAGCGATATTTGTGGTGACAGATGTTCTATGGCTGTTATGGCCGCACTTCCGACAATGTATCGAATTTAATTTAAAAGCACCTTTTTGGACTTTTTTTTTGAACTTTAGCAACCGATATTTTTGTATGAATATATAATTGAATGTGGACATTTTTTGACATATTTAGAACAATGAAAAAATAAATATTTCAACTTTAAAATAATATAAAAAGTGAGAAAAAAAATGTATAATAACTTACTAAACAATAGAAAGTTATAGCATACATACATGTATAATTAAAACAATGAATTTTGAAAACTTATTTATACACAATATAATATTACTTATTTCATATTTATATATTTATTATTAATAATAATATTATAAGTAACTAATAATTAATAGTTAATAGCTAATAGTTAGTTATCTTTTCCTGCCTGTAAGAAAATATTGCTGTATTAGCACAATTTCCACACATATATAGAATATCATGTATTTATAATTTTCATTATGTTTAATTGCTTCTTACTATTAGTAGTGATTTATTGTGGTACTAGTTGTTTATAATTTTAATATATTTTATTAAATAATTTACAGTAATATTGCGTTCAAGCCTTTTTTTATGGATTTCATAATAAGTAGTCATAATAAGTACTTAAGTAAATTAGCAACTCTAAAGCTGAAGAATTACAAAGAATGTGACTTGTAACCTCCTTATCTTCTAGACAGGCACAGTGTTTTGCTGTTATGTCACACTAGACAGTCATATGTCGAATGAAAGAAAAATCTGGAATAGCGCTCCTTTTTATAATCGCAAGACCAAACATGGTTATTAGAACTGTTTAATAGTGCCGGTCTTCAGTTCGAACAAAAATTATCAAACAAAAAATTTTCAAGAAAACAATGCCTTGATTATTGTTTGACTATCTAAATATATATCGATGTAGGTACATTTTATAGCCTAGAAGTAGCTTAGACTTAAATGAGCATATACATCAATTACGTATAGGTCTGCTTAAAAGATGGTTGGTGAAGCATGCAAAGCCAACTAAATTGTGATATTGACACCAAAAATTTCTGTACAGTGAAATTTTACTCACTCACTTAAGATTATTTATTTAGAATGAAAAAAAAACTACTTTTTACTAAAATGTTTAAATTGTAAGTATTTGAAATCTTTTTTAGCGAACAAAAGTGCAATAAGATCAGTTATGTACTATACACTTAACTGATCTTATTAAATACTATAGCATCTTTAGATTTATATGTAGTATTTATACTTTAGAAGACCCCAGTCTATTTATGAAGAATCCACTATTTGTATTCAAATATGGGTATTTAACGTTATATTGTACGCAGTATATTCTACGATGGATGTAAAATTTATTTCTTGAGTACTTTTAATGAAAATGAATGAGTTTAAGCCACCTCAATATATTTCGCTCATGCAATCTATAAATTATCTATAAAATATGTGTACATATTTATATATCTTTGTATTTTTATAAATTTCGACCTCTTATTAGTAAATATTGAATTGCTCTGAAGATCTATTCATAGCCATTCAATCCCTATGTGGACTTAAGAAGTTTAAAAGTTTTAGTTTACAAAGATTGTCAGTATATTAGGAATATATGGATTTATCCATAATATATATGTATATATTTGTGTCATGAGGAAAAGGAAACATCAGAACATAACCTATGCAACTGCCCAGCAGCTGTAAGACGTAGACTCGTTTACCTTGGGATCTTAGTTGCAAATTAAATAAGTTAAATTAATCCCACAACAATTACGAGATTTATAAATAGTCTTGAATTGTTTAGTTGTGCCTTTAGGCGCACAATAGATCTTTAAGGTCGGGGTGCATTCATAGCCTATTATTTAATAATAATAATAGTTTACCAAAATGTTTAGTACACTATAAATAAATGGCTTGAATATATTGTTGAAATGAGTTAGACAGCATATTATTTGAAGTTCAATAAAATGTTAATATAACATAATAAATTCTTTTGTTATTAAACCTCGTAATAAAATTTTGTTGTTAATAAGATTACTGTAGTTACACCCTAGTTTATGTTAACTTAATTTATTTAAATGAATTATTTCCTTTCATAAAAATTATTTCTTCTGACACTGTAATGAATTAAGGGATTTCAATAATACAAGAAATGTTACATGCTTTTTTTAAGATATTAATTAAAAAATCAATGAAGCATTAATTTCCCAATACACCCCGGAAATGTCAACAAACCAACCACTGCCACCTTTCACTGTTTGCATGCAGACAATGAAACGACTATCATTAAGTGTAACTAAAACTAATAATAAAGTACAAAAAGGATGTACTCCAAAATCACAGACAAATAAATCACAATAACGCCAGCTACTGCGCCAAAATCCGATACGAAGCCGAAGTCAACTGTTGGAAAATGATGTATTACTTTTTTAACGCTGTTGATAGTGCAAGATAGCTGCGATTCAAGATATATGCT